TCCTTTTAAAGTCAAATGACAGAAAACTCAAGCCCTGCACATTGTTTTGAGATGGAACCATGGAAGGAAAACATGAATATTTCAGATGTCTCCCATCTTACAAAAAGTTATCAACCTGTCAAAGCCACTCCCTATGTGCCAGAAAATGATCCAGCATAAACCAGTTCTGTCAGTAGAGGAGCTCACAGTGACATTTGCATTATTAACATTTTATACTTCCACTTTTCCAAGAATAGGAGCAATTATGTTTAACAGTTCCCCTCACCCAGATCCTTAAACTCAATATTGTAGGCACGGAGTGTAAGCAAATCTAGGATTTCTTCAACAGATACGCAATAGTACAACCATGTTATTCTCAAAAATACTGTCCTGGGGCTGGCCATTATTTCACTTGGGGGAGCATGTGCTGGTAACACCAAGGTCAAGTGTTCAGATCCCCATACCAGACAGCCACCAAAAAATGAAAAATGAAAAAAATACCGTCCTGTATAATCAAATGCTCAGTAGTCACACTTTTAACAATCGGCATTAGTTGACCTTAAATGTATTTATGATGGCACAAGTCCCTCTAAGCTTCCTTTTAGATATTTTTTAATATGTCCGAGAGAAAACACCTGCTTTAGGTTTATTTAGAGGTATTGACCTGTAAGGACAACCAACTCCATTTTCAAGGTTAGATTAAGAAAATTAAATCACAACAACCTTCTTTAGGTCAGTTAAAGGCCATATCTCGAGCTGAGATATTAAAGAAAATTAATTTCACCAGGCCACACTCTAAAAGTTAATGCCACTAGTAATGATCAACACTAGGAAAAACAAACCCACTAACACCAGCTCACTCATTAGCACAAAAGCAGTCTAACTCAAATACTTAGACCAAAGTATAACACTACCTGACCAAATTGCCCCATCCACTAGCAAGAAAAGCTTAAAACCTCAGAGTAACAACAATCCAACTTCTGAGAGAGTGCTCAGAAGGTCTAAAGGTGGAGCGAAGGCAAGGTCTAGGAATTAGTATCCCATACGTAGCCTTTAAAAACCCAAAGTACCACAAATACACTAAACTTGTCTATGTATTAGAGTCTAAGAGCATATAGTACATGATTTGCACAGCAACAGTCTGACCCAGGGTGAACTTTTCAGCTTTTTGGAGTATGTGGCAAGTTACAGCCACCAACTACAAATATGTGGACCATCCTTTAGTCACAGGTTCTAATTGCTTAGAAAAATATGCCACTGGTCACTTCTGGCTTCTCAAATTCTGCGTCAAAATGCCTAACCCAATCCCTTGCCTCTCCTGTACAAACAGGTCAAAAGGGTTTCCAGAGATCCAGGAGGTCCAAAGCTTGGAATCCAGATGCAACAAAAGCCAGCCATTCTTAGAAACCCACGCAAGTGTTTACGGGTTTTAGGGACTGCAAGTCAGGAAATGGCTTCCCATCTACTGGGCAATAGATTTCTTTGCACCTGTGAGATTTCATATCCCAAATACTTTACCTACTTCCACTAGGTGGAACAATGGCAGGGTTAAGGCCCTTTCTCATTTTTATAATTTTTGTTGGATATTGGGCAAACTTTGTCCAATAGAGGCCATATTAATCAATCGAGTGTTTTCTGGCCACATCTGTATATTTATGGTAAGCCTCCAGAATCTGTTCCAGAAAGGCGGATGGATTTTCATAAGGATCCTGCCTTAATTCATGTACTTTCGACTTGGGGTACCCCTTTCCACAATCCCACCAGTATGCATGGCCCAAAATGTTGGATCTTACCTTCATCACCATTGTTAGGGTCTCATTCAGGATGTGGTAGGGGACAGCTTCCTCAGCACCAGCTCTTACCAGGTCATTGGGGTCCTTGGCGAGAATCTGTTCCAGAAAGGCGGATGGATTTTCATAAGGATCCTGCCTTAATTCATGTACTTTTGACTTGGGGTACCCCTTTCCACAATCCCACCAGTATGCATGGCCCAAAATGTTGGATCTTACCTTCATCACCATTGTTGGGGTCTCATTCAGGATGTGGTAGGGGACAGCTTCCTCAGCACCAGCTCTTACCAGGTCATTGGGGTCCTTGGCGTGTAGGTGGTTGGTTTCTTCCTTGGCTTTCTCCAGTACTAATCAATGTTCCTCTGAAGTCAATAAAACAGTGAGAAGCTGCCCAAGTAGGGTGGTGGGTGCTAAAAAATACACTCAAAGAATTGTCATTTTAGTAGGGTCCTCTTGATAAGTGATTATTTTGTTTCCAATTATAAAGGTCAGAGGTAGTAAAAGGACTGTATCCTCACATCATTTCAGCTGGTTGTCCATCTTAATTTCATCCATCTATGGGCATTTGTCTTTAGGAGTATAGCCTCACTGCAGAAGAGGGCCCCCGGCCAAATAGTCCTCTTTCAGGTAGGAGAGGGGGAGATCATGTTCTCAGCCAAGCCACGTTCCTTTTCTTTAAGTAGATCTACTTTTTGTGGGTCCCCGACAAGCAGTGGAATCAAGATGGGGGCTGGGCTGAGAATGGGCTCAGGAACTAGATCAGGCAAATAAGCCTAGACAGGTAAACGATGAGGATCTTAGGGGATAATAGCAACTGATGGCAGGGAGTCCCTGTCTCAGCCACTCACTCCACCAGAGGTGGGCAAGGGCCATTCATTTGAAGGATCCAGCTGTGGAGGAAGCAGAATCAGCTCTTTTTTTTCTTATTTTGGAACTCCTCCAACCTTTGCATCAACAATTTACAATTTTCCCAATCCATTCCACTTTGATATAACAACATGAATGATTGGACATCGTCTCATCCCATTTACCCTGATTATGACAAAATGGATCCAATTGTAGAATTATATTATAATTTAAACTTCCATTACAGGCCACTTCTCCTGATCTCCCAATGTATGTTGTGGTCATGCATTATCACAAAAGAAAACATATTCTTTTCATGGGCTCATAGCTATACTCAGCCCAATTTTATAATATACATCATCTTAGAATAACAACTGGGATAGACGGTTGATTTCCCATATCAACTTGTACAAGCAACACACTTACCAAAATATTATTCACAACAAATAGCACACTTACAAATAGGCCTTATAACACTATGGGCAGAATACTGCAAACAGGGTTCTCCAAATACTATACAACTGCCCAAGTGGGGGTATCAAAAAGATTCATGTGTCCAGCCCAGAAAATCCAACACTTTCCTTCACAAGTTTGAGTTTCCCAAGCACAAGTAGTCCGGAACATCCATGGAAGCTAGGAATTTCCAGTCATGTCCTCCACCTAAAAAGGGCCAAGCAGCTGCTTGGACAATGAGGCAGAAATTTCCATTCCGCAGAGGCCACCCAAGCTGCAAGCAGCTCTCAAACCCCATGTCTGGGCACCAAAAATTTGGTAAGGAATGAGTCGTGCACGATTCCCCTTCACCATCAGCCAACGTGTAAGAGGTCAACTTAGTTGGGGGCATCCCTGACCATGTGGGTCTGAGTGCTATAGAATCATCAGTCACATCCACTAGATAGAACTTTGAAAAAGGCTTTTTATTTTTGAGATCATCAACCAGGAGACAGAGGGTAAAGTTCCAACTGTCTCCCCTATCGACTGAGGGCTTGGCTTTATATAGGTAAATGTATTGGAGAGACAGGATGCAGAGTCTTCAAGTGTGATGGCCAGCTATAAAGAGAAAACAAAGTTAGTTCTATAGTGTATACATGAGTTTGGGAGATTTTCTACGTTTACAGATAGGCAAGTAGATAGAACAGGTAGGCAGGCAAATGGGAGAGGCGGAAGTGCTCTTTTTTACAGCAGAATACCAACTGATGAATGTGAAGGGGGTAGTGAAGTTAGAAAACCATCTCATAACCACCACAGTAAAGATTACAGAACAATTTCCATCCAGTGTTTTTCCTGACCCACTGCAGGATCACATGTTGCATTTACTTGTCATATCTCTTTACACTACTTTAATCTGAACAGTTTCTCAGCCTTTCTTTGGCCTTAAAGACATTGACAATTTTTAAAGAACACAGGCTGGTTGTTTCATAGAATGATCATCTATTTGGTGTTGCTGAAGCAGGAAGTTAGATAGAGACAAGAGCAGGAGAAGGAAACCTGGTTATTTGCAAGTGGGAAAGCTGGACGTAGGCATGCACATGCACAAAAGCAGCCACAGGAGACAAAGACAATTCCAGACAGGGAGCTCTGCTCCCACATTGGGTGCCATTCTGTTGGACAAATGAGCTCCCACCAGCTAGGGCATCAATCAACAGAGACTACACTCAGGGCTCAACCAGTGACCAAACCACATGAATCCAGCTAAGAGGACTTAAACCCCAGGAATGTACCTGTCGGGGCTCTTGAGCCACTCTCTCTCTCAAGCCTGCTCCATCCTCTCCGGAGTATACTCTCGCTTTGCTAAATAAAACTACCCAGGAATGTACCTGTCGGGGCTCTTGAGCCACTCTCTCACTCAAGCCTGCTCCATCCTCTCCGGAGTATACTCTCACTTTGCTAAATAAAACTATTCTTTGCTTTTCACCTCTGGTGTGTTTTGTCCAATTCTTTGTTCAAGGCACCAAGAACCTGGATTTAGCCAGTGGAGCTCCTCAACTTCCCTTAATCTTGATTCCCTGACTGGGAAACGAAAAAGGTAACTGTTTTCCCTTACTGCTGATTCTTTCTTGTTCAAGTCTCTCAGCAGAAGTATGGTAAGATCGAGGCAGGACTGACAGTTCTTGGTACAGGCTTCTCTCATACAGAATTGGAAACCATCTCCCTCTGACCTGTGGAAGCCCAAGACCCAAGAGGCTGAGAGACATCCCTTTTTTCCATTTCTACTTTCACTTTCTGCATTTGACTGTCATTGCGGGCATGAGTCAGACAGTTAAAAGCCATTAGCGCATCTGTCACTAAAAGTATCCCATGTGAGGATAACCTGGTCTTGGAATGAGTCTTCTAGGACTCACTGGGTGCAAGATAAATCCAAGCACCAGTTAGGTTTGTGTGAGTATGGCCACCTCCATTGTCACCATCTTCTTTCTGCCTCCTCCCCTCCTCTGTTTTGATCGACAAGAAGTCAGCATTGAGGTAAGAGCCCTGTGTCCTTCGGGCTGTGGAAGCTTATTTTTTCCTGTCACATCATTGTTGTTATTGTTGTTGTAGCACAGTTATATGTCTCCTAGGAAAACTGCCCTTCTAAACCATGTCAAACATTTCCTCCCTGATTTTTGCTAACTGCCCTGCTGCATTTGTGATCTGCTTCATGCTCCACTAGCTGAGGTTTTGTTTTAAATCCACCTTCCCTGTCAACCTCTTCCTCCAGCCTGGGCAGGAGGAAGCCTGGCCTCCCCCACAAAAGTGAGAGGTTGTTTATTGCTGAGAAAGAGGCAGAGCCATATGACACAGGAGGAGAGTCCCCCAACGATTTCTACACACCCGTGTGTGTGGTGGTTGGGTACTGCTTATCACTTGTTAATGAGGCACGTCTGGAGGTCACTAGACTGAGGGGCGTCTGGTGTGCGATTGGGCAGTTCTCAGCTCTAACAGAAATGACTTTCCACTTCCTAACAGAGCCAAAAGAGGTGGAAAGATTTCTGACTCAGCTTTCTGAATTTGCCACCACCATTCAGATCAGTCTTGACCCCCTCAGAAGCATCATGAAAAGCCTCCTCCTGGTTCTAAATGGTGTCTTGAAGAAGGGTCTCATAGCCGAGCAGGTCCAGGTGGACTCCATACTTCTGCATCTTAGGGAGGAGAAAGCCACTCACTTTTCTGAAAAGTGGAAGCAAAATGCCTCCACCCTTGCTCGATGGGCCATAGGTCAGACTCTGATGATTAACCAGCTTATAGATATAGATTGGAAATTTGGAGTGACATCTGGGAGCAGCGAATTAGAGAAAGTGGGGAGTATTATCTTACAATTACAGTTGGTGGTTAAGAAAGGAAATCAAACGGAAAATATGTATACAGAATTAAGCTTGCCGCAGTTCTGCAGCTTCCTGCACGGGATGGAGTGCGTCAGCACCGGCATGGATCCCTCTCCCCCTGCAGCTTCCCCGTCCCTGGGTGTCTGCTCCCAGAGGTGCCTCCCACAGTCCGTGGGCACTCCATTTGGCCCTGCTCACATCTTGGGAGCCCAGGTGCAAAAGGTTTATGAAAAACAACAAGATTAAGTACTTAAAGAGCCCTACACAATTACCCTGTAAACTTCTTGTCAAGGGAACCTCCACCACCTATCTCCCAGGATATTCTGACAGGCTATTGCAGACATTTGTTTGGTCTGTCTAAGGATTTACATTTTCACAAGTGGGGAAATCCACAACCTCCATGCAATGTTTGAGTTTATCCCTTACTCAGTCTAATTTTCTGTTACTTTAGCATTCTTGTGCTTTTTTATTTCAACCCATCCCACAGTCTGGGCTGTTATACATATGGAATAGCATTATTATCAATGGGATATTAACTGCATTCCCTTCTTCCTACTTGGAGGTACAGATCTTGCTCCCCACCTTCACTTCAGGACCTGGCATAACTTAGCCTTTATTCCTCCATATATGCACTCCTATGTTGGTTTGAACTAATTCACTGTAAGGAGCACAAACCAGTCTTAGGAGAAAGCAAAAGGAAGGCCCCAAGGCCGATCATAATGCTGGAGACATCCAGCATCACAGAGGACCCTACTTCAGGGATGCCCAAAGAGGGAATAATAAGGAGGAACCCAGTGGGGGACGCCCAATGGATCCTCCTCAGGGGCAAAATACCCTACTCCAGAGGACACTCTGGAGAGGACTTCTGACCCAGGGACCATCCCCTTCGACATCCCCTCCCTTTTTCTTCCTTGTGGGGGATAATGCTCTCAAAGAGGGGGATGGCCAAGAAAAGCTCTAGTGGTCCAGGAAGGGCAGGCAAGCAACTGAGGAGGCCCAGGGCCATCCTCCTCGCCCCCATCTAGGAACATCACTATAACCATGGAGGAACCCTGGGTAACTCTGGGGGTCATGGGTAAGTGAATTCATTTCCTTCAGATACAGGGGCAAGTTACTTTGTCCTTCTTACCTTCGCAGGGAAACCTTTCTCATGATCCATAACTGTTATGGGTATGGAGGGAAGAAACAAGATCAGCTTCATGCCTCCCTTGACTTGCCAATTTGAGAATGAAATATTTCTACAGGAGTTTCTGATAGTCCCTAGCTGTCCTTCCCCTCTTTGGGGATGGGAGGCCCTGGCAAAGCTGGGGACCATTCTTCAATTAAGACATAGTCCTGCAAGATTACTCATTATCCAAACCCCAAATAACATTCCTGACCACAAAGATACACAAGTCAATCCTCTTGCCTGGTATACTGGAGAGCCAGGAAGGGCAAAGACAGCTGTCCCCATAAAAATACAACTTGACCCCAGTGTTTTCCCCAATCAAAAACAATATCCAATAAGATTGGGGGACAAATGGGGTTTAGCACCAATTATAAAGGAATTTTTGCATTTTGGTCTTTAATAGCCTTGCCAGTCCCCTTGTAATACTCCCATTTTGCCAGTGCTTAAACCAACTGGAGAGTACTGAATGGTCCAAGATTTAAGAGTGGTAAATGAGGAGTGGTGCCCATCCACCCCCTCATGGCAGACCCCTACACCCTTTTATCCCAGATCCCTGGAGATACCCAATGGTATACAGTCCTGAACCCTAAGGATGCTTTTTTTTCAATCCCTTTGCATCCTGATTCTGAATATCTTTTTGACTTTGGATGGCAGGATCCTTATACTAACAAAAAACACAATATACCTGGACTGTGCTTCCACAGGGATTTCAAGATAGCTCATACCTGTTTGCCTGGGCATTAGAAAGGGACCTTGGGGATATAAAACTAGATAAAGGAACTATTCTCCTATATGTGGATGATCTTATTTGCAGCCCAGACCAAGAGGCATCAGATGCCAATACCGTAAAAGTTCTTAACTTTCTGGCTAAACAGGGGTACAAAGTTTCAAAGAAAAAAGCCCAAATTTCACTACAAAAGGTCTAATATTTAGGATATGTCCTCATCCCCAGTACACATCAACTGTCACTGTACTGAATTAAAGCAAATTGTACCCTTCAGTATCCAAAAAGCAAACGCCAACTTAGGTCTTTCTTGGGCATGGCAGGGTTTTGCCAGGTTTGGATCCCCAATTTTGGCCTTATTGCCAAGCCCCTTTATGATGCAACCAAAGGCCCAGAAAATGAGCCTTTGGAATGGACTGGGGAAACAAAGAGGGCCTTTGATGATCTAAAACAAGCCCTATCTCGGGCACTGGCATTGAGGATCCCTAATGTACTTAAACCCTTTTCTCTGTTGCAGAGAAAAGAAGAATAGCTCTTGGAGTCCTGACTCAAAAATTGGGGACAGAGCCATGGCCCATAGCATACTTTTCAAAGAACCTTGATGGCATTCCTACAAGCTGGTCCAGCTGCCTTAATGCAGTAGCAGCTACCACTTTATTGGTATAAAAGGCTGCAAAAATAACTATGAACAGCCTTTGGAGGTGTTGACCCCTCAACAGGTTAAGTCAGTCCTTGAAATAAAGGGACATTTATGGACGGCCAGGGAACGATTGACCAAGTATCAGGCAGTTCTCATAGATAACCCTGGGATGACTCTAAAGACCTGCAATCTATTAAATCCAGCCAACTGACTCCTCCCCCATCCATTACCTATATAACATTTTTAAATTAACCCACAGTCTTTTGAATTCTTTTGACCCAGATTTAGCTAAAGATTGCTGGCTTTGTTTGTCTTCATTTTCCACCAATATACAGCTGTCCCTATTCCTGTTCAAATGTGTGCCACCAGCTCCAGGATCAGACAGATACACTGGCAGGGATGGTACTCCAAAATAGGAGAGGATTAGACCTCCTAACAGCTGAAAAAGGCAGACTTTGCTTATTAACCAGTCAGGCCTAGTGAGGGATGCTGCAAAGAAATTAGCAGATAGAGATTCACAATTATGACGACAATCATCTGAGTTCTGGGGTGCTTCGTCAAAAATCTGGAATTGGTTCCCATGGCTGTTGCCCCTATTAGGACCTCTGATGATGATAATTCTGGCCTTGGTTTTGGGGCCCTATTTACTAAACCTCTTAACCAAATTTATCTCTTCTCATTTAGAGACCATAAAACTACAGATGATCATGCAACAAGTATATCAACCCCTTGGAACCACAACTGGCCCCTACTGCAACTGCCCAGGCCAGACACCAGCTCACCTGCTAACACACCTTAGACTGACCACAACCCATTTGCCCCTAATCCTGCTCTCCCACTTAGAACAGGTAGGGCAAGAGTTTCATGATCCCCAATAGGCAGGGCCAATGCCCCTTTTCAGTGAAGAAGCAGCTACAGAAGATGGACCATCATCCCTCTACAACCCATAAAGATTTATGGGGATCATGACTCTCGGGGGAAAATGAAGCAAGAAGTTAGATAGAGACAAGAGCAGGAGAAGGAAACCTGGTTATTTGCAAGTGGGAAGACTGGATGTAGGGGACTTAGGCATGCACATGCACAAAAGTGGCCACAGGAGACAAAGGCAATTCCAGACAGGGAGCTCCAGCCCCACATTGGGCACCATTTGGTTGGACCAATGAGCTCCCACCAGCTAGGGCATCAATCAACAGAGACTACACTCAGGGCTCAACCAATGACCAAACCACATGAATCCAGCTAAGAGGACTTAAACCCCAGGAATGTACCTGTCGGGGCTCTTGAGCCACTCTCTCACTCAAGCCTGCTCCATCCTCTCTGGAGTATACTCTCACTTTGCTAAATAAAATTGTTCTTCACTTTTCGCCTCTGGCGTGTCTCATCCAAGTCTTTGTTGGAACAGAGACACCAAGAACCTGATTTAGCCAGTGGAACACCTCAGTTTCCTGTAACATTGCCTCATCGTTAGATTCAAATCTGGCTTTAACACCGTATAAGAGAGCTTGTGTCCTTTTCAGGATGTGGCATCTGCAGGCACATCCTATCTTCTGCCCCTCCTCCTTGGTGATGATAAGCAATAACCAGAGAAAGGTGAGAAAGTTTCACCACTGTATTGCTAGCAACTTCTCCTTGCAATTAATAAGTAAACTGTGGGGAGACACTTTAAGGTCATACAGGTATCCTGCTCATCGGTGGATTCTAACTACAGAGTAGAAAGTCTGAAGAGTAACCTATTCTCAAATGACACAGGTATTGCTAGCAACTTCTCCTTGCAATTAATAAGTAAACTGTGGGGAGACACTTTAAGGTCATGCAGGTATCCTGCTCATCGGTGGATTCTAACTACAGAGTAGAAAGTCTGAAGAGTAACCTATTCTCAAATGACACAGGAAAAAACTAAATCTGTGGGTTTGTGTGTATACTGGGGGTCAGAAGGAGGGAGGAAAAGAGAGAGAGAGAAAATGACAAAGCAAAAGTGGTAAAATGTTAGCATTTAGGGAATCTAGGTGAAATGTATATGAAATTTTTTTGTTCTATTTTTGCAACTTTTCTGTTAGTCTAAACTTACTTCAAAATAAAAAAAAAAAATTTAATCCAGTAAGTATTATACAAAGAAGAGAGAGAAGAGGAGGAGGAGGAAAAGCAGGGTTTTTTGTTCTATTTTTGCAACTTTTCTGTTAGTCTAAACTTACTTCAAAATAAAAAAAAAATTTTTAATCCAGTAAGTATTATACAAAGAAGAGAGAGAAGAGGAGGAGGAGGAAAAGCAGGAGAAGAAGGAAATGACCAAACCCTGGTGGATGGGAAAGAGGGAGGGAATGAAAAAAAAGGGTGGGGAGGTGCTGGCCGATTAGCTCACTTGGGAGAGGCAGGTGTTGGCAACACCGAGGTCATGGCTTCAGATCCCCACAGAGGCCAGCAGCCCCAAAGGGGGGGGGGAAGAAAGATGGAGGAATGTAGAGACCCTCTGCACCTTCCCCTTCTACTCCCATCCTCTCCCCCACCCCTGCACCTCTTACACTGAGAGGAACAATGAAGCCACACATTAGCTTTATTTGATGATACTGGGGTTAATTTAAATGCATGTATATAGAGAAAAATAATTAATGAAATAAGTTATTTATTATTTATTAAAAGTAAATGATGGAATTTAAATGAAGTATATACATGAATTTTTACACAAACCTTTACTACTTGAAAAACATATGGTGTTC